GCGGGAGGAGTTGAGGAGAAAGCGGTGAGAAAGGGAAGGCGGGTCGGCGTGATGCGGAGGAGCTCCCGCTCCTCCTTTGCTTTGCACAACACCCTCTCCCCACGCTCCCGCCGCTGCGGCTGGGGGGGGGGGGGGGCCCCCCCCCCCTCCTCGGGTGCTGCTCCACCACACGCTCACCTCGGCATCCCGGCCTTTCCTTATCCCGTGCCGAAACGCCGCTGGGAAAACCGAAGCGTGGCGTCAAAACGCTACCGGGAAAACCGAAGCGCAGTGTCAAAATTCCGCCGGGAAAACCGAAGCGTGACATCGGAACACCGCCGGGAAAAACCACAGTACGGCCTTGAAACTCCGCCGGGAAAACCGAAGCGCGGCGTCGCAACTCCGCCGGGAAAACCGAAGCGCGGCGTCAAAATGCTACCGGGAAAACCGAAGCGCAGCGTTGAAACTCCGCCGGGAAAAACCAAAGCGCAGCGTCGGAACTCCGCCGGGAAAACCGAAGTGCGGCGTCGGAACTCCACCGGGAAAAACCGAAGCGCGGTGTGGAAACTCCGCTGGGAAAACTGAAGCGCGGCGTTGGCATCCAGCTGCCGCCGCCCCCCTGTCCTCGGCTTTTTGGGAAGCGGAGAGGGGTGTCCGTGCCCCCACTCCCGGCTCAGCAGAGGCTGAAGACGGAGGGAGCCTGAGCCCGGTATTTCTCGTGGAAGTTCTTGAGGATGGGGACGAGGTTGTGGAAAGCCGGGCGGAAGGAAGCCTCCGCTTCCCAGCAGTTCTTCATCAGCCGGTAGATCTGGGAAGGGAGGGAGGGGAAGCGGAGAAACAGCCGGAGGCAGCGCGGCCGCCGGGATTTCACCGGGAAGAAGGGGGGGCTCCGCACTTCTAGAGCTCCGCCCGCCGCGTTCGGGACCCCGACTTCACCTTTCCCTCCTCTTCCTCACAGCAAGATGAAGCCCTTCCCGCTTTTTCTCTTCCCTTCCTCCTTTTTTCCCTTCCTTCCCTGTTTTCCTCCTTCCCTTTCCCCACGTTTTCTCCTTCCCATTTTTCT